CCCAGGCAATGGGATTACCAGAAAACCCTTTAATTATCGCTCAAGTTGGTTTTTGTGCTGGCTGGACAATGGGGGGGGTCTCTAACAGAGCCTTGGCACCCCCAGCAGCCTGAGCCCGTTGTCCTTCAGCCAGGGACTGCCCTGTGGATGGGATCAGAGGTGCTCCCTGTGGGAGGGAACCCTGGGACACAGCATTGGGGTTTTTGGTGAGTGACAGCCCTGTGGATAGGACTGGAGATGCTCCCTGTTGGGGGGAGCTCTGGGACACAGATTTGGGGGTTTGGTCTGTCATAGCTCTGTGGATGGGATCAGAGATGCTCCTTCCTGTTGGGAGAGCTCTGGGATACACATTTGGGGTTTTGGTGGGTGACTGCTCTGTGGGTGGGACTGGAGATGCTCCCTGTTGTGGGGAGCTCTGGCACCCAGATTTGGGGTTTTTGGTCACATTGTTGTGTGCAGGTCAGAGGGTGCTGCTGGCTCCTGTCACCCCTGGCTGCTCACTCCTGGATGTTTTTGGGGTTTCCTCCCTYTCTGTGGTTCGTTTCCTCACAGTGGGTCTCAGGCTGCTTCCCGAGCTCCTCAGACATGTCCAGGGAGGGATTCTGGATCCATTTCCAGCTCAGCAGGGTGGTTTGTGTTCTTAGCCTCCCCTCTGGGGATCAAACCCCCCYAGTTCCATGCTCACAGCCCCTTTGGGCTCTTGCAGAACCGCCCCAAGGCCGAGTGCTGCTGGTGCTCAGCATGGACAACACGTGCCCCACCTCCTCCTTCRACCTGGACCTGTGTGCCCACAAACTGCAGGCTCTTGGGCTCCAGGTGAGCTCCTCCGGGAGGTAATTCCACTGGGTTTGCATAATTTGCATTTACACCCACGTCCCAGATGGCTTTGGGACTTTTTTTGGGGTTTGAGARTTGCTTATTTCAGCCCAACTGAACAGCCCAGTCTGCTCCCCTGGGGGTGGAAGTCAACTGGGATGAATTTGGCTTAAACCTCCGTGGAGAAACTCTTTGAAGATGGGTTGGAGTGGATTTTGCTTGAAATTCAATCTGATAGGGCAGAGCATCYCTGGGACCTGTGTCTTGTTCAGTCCTTTGTTGTTAAAAAGGCATTTTTATCAATCCTGACTTTCTCTGCTCTTCCCAGGCAGATTTTACTCTCTGCAGATGAAGCAGGAGTTAAAGTTTTGGGTCAGTGACAGCTCTGGGGATGGGATTGGAGATGCTCCCTGTGGGAGGGAGCTCTGGGACACAGATTTGGGGTTTTTGGTCAGTGGATGGGATCAGAGATGCTCCCTCTTGTGGAGAGGATCTCTGGGCAATCTCTGGGACACAGATTTGGTGTTTTGGTGTGTGAGGAGCTCTGTGGATGGGATCAGAGATGGTCCCTGTGGGGCAGAGCTCTGGGATACAGATTTGTGGGATTTTGGTCAGTGGATAGGATCAGAGATGCTTCCTCCTGTGTGAACAGCTCTGGGACCCAGATTTGGGGTTTTTGGTCAGTGACAGCTCTGTGGACGGGATTGCAGATGCTCCCTCCTGAGTGAGGAGCCCTGGGACCCAGATTTGGGGATTTTGGTCAGTGGATGGGATTGCACATGCTCCCTCCTGTGGGAGGGATCTGTGGGCAATTTCTGGGACACAGATTTGGGGTTTTTGGTCAGTGGATGGGATTGCAGATCCTCCCTCCTGTGTGAAGAGCTCTGGGCCCAGCTTTGGGTYGGGAGCCCCACTCTGCTTTCCCCGGGGTGGTTCTGCTGGGGACTGGAGCCCCTCTGGAGGGTGGCAGTGTTCTGGTGTTTGCAGGTGCCACTGGATCCGTGCAGGAGGCTGATCCAGGATGGGCTCCTGACRCCCGAAATGAGGCGGTTCCTGTTCTACAGCTCCAGGGGCTTCCAGATCGCCATGGCCGTGGTGAGGGCTCSGGGGGCAAGGGGGGTTGGCTGGGGGGCAGATGCTGCTGTTAACACATCCCTGGAGGGTTCCTTGGGCAATCCCAGCTCTCAGGATCCCTGTGGATGGAGGGCAGGGCTCGTTCTCCACGCCCTTGCTGGTGACACTGGTGGCCACGGCTCTCACTGTGCTGGTGACCCTGGCCATTGATTGGCGCCAGAGGAAGGTGAGGGGAGGCTCCTGCTGGGTGAGAATGTGGATTTCCTCCTCCTGGCACCCAAATCATTCCCCAATTGCAGAAAAAAAAGAGCAGCAGACTGTCTGTTCAGGGAGTAGCCCATGCTGAGGCAGTAATACTCGGTTTGTAATAACAAGTATATAACACTGTGGTATATCATATATATTATATACTGTTTGRCACTAATACCCACAGCACACTCGGTTTGTAACCTGATCTTAAAAACCTGAAGATATTCTGGTCTTGATGCTAATTCAGACCAACGAATCAGTAAAATTTTGGTCTTATTTGTCATTTTTCTGGTGAAGGAAACTCCTCCAAAGTGCCAGCCATGACCCTGTGCTGAGGCTGCTGCTCTGCACTGGGCTGAGGGTGTGAGCAAATCCAAATCCTTGGTTTAGTCCCTTTTTTTTTTGGATAGCCATTACACAAATCTCCTCCTTTCTCT